TGATATAAATATGTACATGTGCACGTGCATACATACATACATATATACCCACATATAAACATTTTTCTGAAAAGGAGGTGTATACATTTTTTCACATTTTTGAAGTGGTTTATTCCCAAGAAACCAAGTACTGTTTAAGCTTTATAGCAATGAGCAATTGTTAACATAATTTTCCAATTTACTCACAGCTGAGAACAGTTGTGAGAAGTTGCCTGTGGTCTGACATCATTTATGAAATGTCCCCAGTGTGGGGAGGATCTGCAGATGCATGATCCAGGCTGCACACCCTGCGACCTGCACATTTTATATTAGCTCTGATGGCACCAGCTAACATAACCATGGAGCAATGAGTCATTTTTAAAACTTACCCAATATCACTGGTAAATGCAGAATCAGAGAGTATTAGGCCTTCCCTGATGTTCCAGTAGTTAAGACTCTGCACTGCCAATGCAGGGGGCCTGGGTTCGATCCCTGGTCGAGTTAACTAAGATCCTATATGCCGCACAGCGTGACCAGAAGTTTAAAAAAATAGAAAAAAAAAAATAGAGGGTGTAAAGCCCCAACCTTGGGAATAAAAGCAGAGGACCAAAAAGCCAAAGACACTTCAGCACCTAAGACTGATGCAAAACTTGACAGGACAGATCAAATAAAAATGCAGTTTTTTAAAAAACAAAATGACATAACATCTGTGTTTGCTTTAAGATATTTGAGTAAATATAACATTTTTAAAAGAGTTAAATGAAGCAAACTGGGCAAATATTGGTAATTTCTGATTCTGATTGATAGGTATGTTAAAATTCATTATTTTCTTTACTTTTGGGTATGGATGAAATTTCCCGTAATAAATTTTTTTAATCACATACACGTCCTAATTGTTTAACAGCCGCACTCTCTGGTCGTACTAGAACCAGTACAATCAGCTCTGATAGGGGCAAAATGAAGATGTGGAACAATCAAGTGGACAATACAGAAGTGAGAAACTAACCCTAGAAGTACTGAGAAATATAGAATACATCAGGAAGGAGCAAAGCTGAGAATCCATGCATAGCAAGACTAGTTGAGAAAAATGATCAGTTCAATAATAAAAAGCATAGTAAACTAAAATCATTTTCAAAGATTTTAGGAAATGGTAAAACACAGACCATTTTGGGGAGTGTAAATTGGTATAGCCTTATAGGGCTTCCCTACCACTCAGAAGGTAAAGCATCTGCCTGCAATGCAGGAGACATGGGTTCGATCCCTGGGTCCGTTACTAGAACCAGTACAATCAGCTCTGATAGGGGCAAAATGAAGATGTGGAACAATCAAGTGGACAATACAGAAGTGAGAAACTAACCCTAGAAGTACTGAGAAATATAGAATACATCAGGAAGGAACAAAGCTGGGAATCCATGCATAGCAAGACTAGTTGAGAAAAATGATCAGTTCAATAATAAAAAGCATAGTAAACTAAAATCATTTTCAAAGATTTTAGGAAATGGTAAAACACAGACCATTTTGGGGAGTGTAAATTGGTATAGCCTTATAGGGCTTCCCTACCACTCAGAAGGTAAAGCATCTGCCTGCAATGCAGGAGACATGGGTTCGATCCCTGGGTCCGGAAGATCCCCTGGAGAAGAAATGGCAACCCACTCCAGTATTCTTGCCTGGAAAATTTCAAGGACGGAGGAGCCTGGTAGGCTACATTCCATGGGGTCACAAAGAGTCAGACACGACTGAGCGACTTCACTTTCACTTTACTGGTAAAACAGAGTAACAACCTGAATCAAAAACCTTAAGACATTCCACATTTTTTGATCCCTTCATTCCCTTAGTAACAGTGTAACCCAAAGAAACAGAATATGAGCAGCTATTTCTGCACACATATCTTACCTTACATTTGGAAGCTCTGGCGGGGAGGGGAAGCTTGGGATGCCCTATTGAACACTGTAACCCTAGCAGAGGTTCTGACCAGTCAGGAAGTAAGTGCTCAATGAATGCAATTTAAATAAACAGTGAAGAATTAGGAACAACCTAAAAGCCCTGAAATTATTTGTCATATCTTGATATGAAAGAAATGCTAGTCATTTAAGTTGTTTTTTCCAAAGAATGTTAAATGACATGGAGAAAACATTGCACATGAAATGATAAGTGGGAGAAATCAGGATATAAAGCCATATACGGAATGATCATAATTAAATATGTTTAGTGCAAGAAAACATATCAATATTTTAATTGTAATATCCCTGGGTGATAAACACAAATATGTCCTAAATTTTCTCCTTCAAATTTTTCTGCAACTTCCAAATTATCCATAAAAACTAAAATTTTTTTTTTTGGATTGGGGGCAGGAGGAGAAGGGGACGACAGAGGATGAGATGGCTGGATGGCATCACCAACTCGATGGGCATGGGTTTGGGTAGACTCCGGGAGTTGGTGATTGACAGGGAGGCCTGGTGTGCTGCGATTCATGGGGTCACAAAGAGTCAGACACGACTGAGTGACTGAACTGACTGACTGAACTACTGTACACTGTGTGTGTGTGCTAAGTTGCTCAGTCGTGTCTGACTCTTTGGGACCCTATGGATTGTAGCCTGCCAGCCTCCTCCTTAGGACTCTATGGACCGCAGCCTGCCAGGCTCTTCTGCCCGTGGAATTCTCCAGGCAAGGATACTGGAGTGGGTTGCCATGTTCTCCTCCAGGGGATATTCCTGATCCAGGATTGAACCTGTGTCTCTTACATCTCCTGTATTGGCAGGTGGGTTCTTTACTCCTAGCACCACCTGAGAAGCCCCACTGTACACTATCACATTTTATTTAACCATCTCCCATTCAATATGCAGGAAGGGGACTTCTTGAGTGGCCCAGCAGTTAAGACTTCACCTTCCAATGCAGGGGGTGTGGGTTCAATCCCTGGTCGGGAGCTAAGATCCCACATGCCTCGCCAACCCCCCCCCCCAAAAAAAAAGCAGTGAATTTGTTTAAAAAAAAAGAAAAAGATAAAACATTCAGGAAAGGGCTTGGGTAGTCTCTCTCTGAATCTGCTAAAGGAAGGGGCTGCAAAAACCTCATCCCACTCTGCTGCTGGTAACAAGGGAAAGAAATCTCAAAGGATAGAGTGGGTAGTAGTTCCCAGGAGCAAAGCAGATCCAGTCTTCAGGGTCTGCACAAAGGAGGCCATGAGAAGCTTCCCCCAGACACAGTGATCACCCACATACACAACCATTCCACAAATATATATTGAGTACTATGGGCTTTCCTGATGGGCTCAGATGGTAAAGAACCTGCCTGCAATGCAGGAGACGTGGTTTCGATCCCTGGGTTGGGAAGACTCGCTGGAGTAGGAAATGGCAACCCACTCCAGTATTCTTGCCTGGAGAATCCCCATGGACAGAGGAGCCTGGTGAGCTACAGTCCATAGGGTCACACAGAGTCAGACATAACGTGACTTAGCATGCATACACCATACTAGGGCTTCTCCAGTGGCTCAGGGGTAAGGAATCCCATGGCAATGCAGGAGACGTGGCACAAGCCGTGGGTTCCATCCCTCAGTTGGGAACATTCCCTGGAGAAGGAAATGGCAACCCACTCCAGTGTTCTTGCCTGGGAAATCCCATCAGCGACTAAACAACCACCACCACCATACTAAACTCTGAAGATCTGGCATACACATGTAAACACCAATGCACCAAACACTGTAAATATACTGAACTATGATTTTCTGTTAAGCCTGCTTTATTTTCTGCCTCATAGTTGTAACTATCTGATTTCTGGGTATTTGAAAAGGTTTAAAGTAACCCAAGAAATCACCACCTAGCCATAGATTTTATTTATTTCCATGTAAAGTTTATATGAATGTATGAATACATGTGCGTCTCTAGTTTGCATTAATAATTTACAAAATGGGACTTGGTGATCTCTAAAATCATTTTTCAGCTCTGTCTAAAATACAAGGTATTTGCAATAGGGCTCTTTTATCACTTGGTGTCGCTATTGACAACACAAAAGTTAGATAAGAGCTTAACAGAAGTGCTTTAAAGAACACACTATGAAATTTAAGATTTTAAAATGTGAAAGCACTTTTACAGACAAATCCTATAAAAAAAATCTATAAGGGACCCTTCAGGAACCTATATGCATATCAAAGTAGTGCCCCTGGCATCACAGCCCAGTGCAATGGGCAAGCTAATAGTTAAGTATTTACTATACCTTCTAAAACAACTTTTAGCAACTTACAGGTCAGCAGTATAAGAAGGGAAGCAGAGGTCTTAAAATTAGAAGGGAGCTTATTTGTCCACAAATTTTCAAATAAAATCTCTAGTCTGCTCCCTAGAGTTACAGCTACATTTACATCAAACTAGCGCACACACACACACACACACAACCACAGATTTTCCATGCATCTAGTTGAAATCAAAGTTTCACAAAACCATGATACCCTCACTGGGTACAATACACTTTTTCTCCATGTATTTGTGAAATAATAGAAAATATATATTAGTCTCTGCCCCCAGGATCCTGGCACAGATCTCCTAAAATTCTTGAAATTTCCCAAGTGGTAAAAGCTTGAAGAGCATTTTTGTCCAAATGTTGTAGGAAGGGGGACCCCCCTTCCAGGGCCCGAAGTTGGGCTCTTGTCTAACACTCGGAAAAGAATTGTCCGAGGAGACACGTGCTGACAAAGCAAGAGATTTTATTGGGAAAGGGACCCCGGGTGGAGAGCAGTAGGTAAGGGAACCCAGGAGAACTGCTCTGCCGCATGGCTCTAGTCTTGGGTTTTATGGTGATGGGATTAGTTTCCGGGTGGTCTTTGGCCAATCATTCTAATTCAGAGTCTTTCCTGGTGGCACACGCATCGCTCAGCCAAGATGGATGCTAGCAAGAGGGATTCTGGGAAGTGGACGGACAGGTAGTGTTTCCACTCAACCTTTCCCGAACTCTTCCAGCTGGTGGTGGCTCATTAGTTCCGTATTCCTTATCAGGATCTCCAGCCATAAAACAACTCATGCAAATGGTTACTATGGTGCCTGGCCAGAGTGGGAGGTTTCAATCAGTGTGCTTCCCCTAACACCAATATTTGGTCTCTGCCCCAGTTCCTGACACAAAGCTCCTAAATACCTTGGAATTTCCTAGGTGATAGGAGTGGCTTTGTGCTAATGGTTGACTCTTGGATGGGCTTCTCAATAGCTTCAGGAAGGGAGCTTCCTGATTACCAGGAAGACCAAGCCCTAATTAAAGCCTGGAACTTTCAGCCCCACCCTCTATCATCTGGGAAACGTAGAAGGGCTAGAAGTGGAGTTAATGATTGATCATGCTTATGTGATGTAGCCTCCACAAAAATTCCAAAAGTTCGTGGTTCAAAGAGCTTCCAGGTTGGTGAACACATCTATATATGGCAAGAGGGTGGTGCACCCCAGCTCCAGGGGGACAGGAATTCCTGCGCTTGGAACCCTGCTGGACCTCACCTGAGCAGCTCTTCATCTGTATTCTTTATCATGTTTTGTTATATAAACAAAGTGATAAGCATAAGTAAGTGTTTCCCTGAGCACTGTGAGTCATTACAGCAAATTACTGAAACCCAAGGAGGAAGTCATGGGAACCTGACTTTAGCTGGTCAGTTAGAAATATAGGTGACAATCTGGGGCTTGCAACTGTCTCAAGTGGGGCAGTTTTGTGGGACTGAACATTTAACCTGGAGGAGCTGTTACTAACTTAAGGTAGATGGTATGAGAGCTGAACTGAATTGGAGAACACCTAGCTGGTGTTGCAGACATGTCCAATATGTGGAAAACCCACATCTAGTGTCAGACGTGCTGTGAGTCTGATAGTATTGCGACAGTATAGGAAACACAGGGACTGTTTCCTTGGCACATTCTGTTTCACAAAAATACTGGTCATAAACCAATAAACTGATTTTACTTGATCTAATACCCTTCTTTCCATTTAATATGTTAGGAAGCAGAGACTCAGAGAGGTGCAGTGACTTGCCCGCGGTAACATGGCAAGCCAGAACTCAAACTTCTCAGGATACTGGCAGGTTGTGCTTTGGAAGGTATTAAGCAAAAATCAAAGATCATCCTTGACATATTCCCAGCCCTTTTTGCACTCTTGTATCTTCTAAAGTCTGTGGGCCAGTACCTGCTGGTGAAAAATCTGACAATGTGTACATGTGATTAGTCATTTTAAAAATACAAGTTCTTTTTAAAATATAAATGTGATCACTTTAACTGCTCTACTTGAATTCCCTCAGCAGCTCTTTGTGGTTTTCAGGCCAAATACAAATCACCGGTGTGTCAATAAAGGCTCCTCCAGACCTGGCCCCAGTCCTGCTTGCCGGGTCTCTCTTTACCACTTCCCCATATGTACCTTCAAGGTCTTTCTTTCCTCCATTCTTGACCTGGCTCAATCGTGAGTTTTTTGACAGCTCCACTCATATTCTTTTTCTGAGAATCTTCCTGATGCTTGCTTTCCACACCTCCGCCACAGCACACATCCTACCATCCCTGTGTCTTCCTCTTGTCTGTCTTCTCCACTGGACTGGGCATTCGTGTGCGCCGAGTCCAGGCTCTCCATGTACTACCCTGTCACCTAGCCTAGGGCTCAGCACGTAAGAGGAACTCAGTAAGTATCTGCCCAAGCGAATATCTGCATATTCTTACTCTGAAATTTCAATCCCCCCAAAACTCCAACTCAGTTCTCCCAATTTCACAGACCCAGGAGTTGGGTGGGCCTCACAAGTCACATGGCTGAGCTTCTCATGGTGCAGATGAAGAATGTGAGGATCAGAGAGGTGAAATGGGTTTACTAAGATCACACAGAAGTGGAGTATAGGAGACTGGCTTGCAGCAGCTGTAACCAGTCTTGTTGCTGACTGAAGGAGCTCCGCCTTCATTTTAGCTGGAGAGGAAGCCCTTAGGGAAAAAATTCTCACATTACAGAGAAAGAACCATTACTTTGACAAAACATTTTTCTAATTTTATGACTGTTGGGATAAGAGTCTGTTATTTTACTGCATTCTTTAAAAAAAAAAAAAGGAAACTTTTATCAACCAAAAATTAAAAGTTTAAGTGAAAAAAATTCTGAAAAGAAATAGAACTGCTTGAGAAGGACCTAACTGAGAAGGGTGGTCTCCACAACCTTAGAGGAGTTCTTCAGAACTTTTTTTCTGCCAGTGATGAATTTTCAGATCTTTATCAATCAGAGAAAAACCATTTTAAATAAAAAAAAAAGAAACTACACATTGCTCCCAAGCTGACAGACTACTATCACCTCAGAATCTGTTCACAAAGGACAACTAATATTTTTAGATGAGTACATCATCCACATGACACATTATTACTTTTTTTTTTTTTTAACCCTAGAAATGACATGGCTTGAGAAATGACTTGCTAAGAAATCTGTGTTTACATTAGGGAGTGTGGGGAGGAAAAATCCCTTGCAGAAGTTGAAAAGATGTTAAGTGGTAAATACCAAAATGCCCAGCAAGCATGTAAGCAGGCTCTCATACCAGCATAAATATGTGCAGCTCAGCGTTTTAAAATTTCTTTTAGCTTTTCCAGCAGTTTAAATTAACCCCTTCTCTACTTCTGCTCCCTGCCTGAGAGTGCAGCCCTTAACCTAGAGACTAACGGGGCTGGCAGGGTCCTCTGTGATTCGCCAGCAGATAATCCCCTCATGCTAACCGCTCCCCACAAGTGGGCTGCCTCTCCAGGTACCTTGTAGACTCCTTGCTAGCCAGTCTCTTGGGTGAGCCCTGGACAGTGTTAGGAAGTAAGTCCAGCTTGAAGGAGCTGTGCACAGAACTGGAAAAGGCCTACTGGGAGACCAAAACAATACAAACAAATTCAGCTCAAAAGTTACATCCAGAGCAGAACTTCTTCAGGAGCAGGTATCTCAGAATCACCTGGAGGGGCGGTTCCAGAGGGTGGCCAGTGCCTGTAGTTGAGAAAGATCCTCAAATGACTCTAAAGTGCGTCCTTCACTGACAGACACTAATCTAGATGCTCTAAAGAGGTGATTATGTTTTTCTCTTAGTTTAAGACCTTAGCAAGTTAAAATGAAAAAGGAAACAGCAACCCCAAACCAAACATTCCATGGTTCATCTTAATACCTTACTATTAAACTTATTGACAGACTAGGTGAATGACAATCAATTATAAGAAAGGTCACCATTTAATGAATATTTGCTTAATACTTTACCATACTTTCTCACACACTAAGGCTCTCATGCGCTTCTCACAGCGACCTTGTGAGGTATCTTGTTATTCTCAAATCAAAGATGAAGAGAATGAGCCTCAGAGACAGGAGAGAAGAACCTGGAAGTTCCCTGATGATGTCATGGTTTCTATTACTGAACTAGAGCCTTTTTTGCTATTTATAGTAATTTGTGTCTTTGCAGTGTTTCTTCTAAACATAGAGCATATCAGTTGCTGCAGACATTTACTTCCAAGGGGAAAAAAATCCACGTCAGAATCTCGGTGAGCTGAAATCTCACACCATATTGGCCCCATTAAAACCAGGGCCGGCCGCATAAACTCTCAGTGTTCTTCTAAGCTTTTTCGCTCAATAGAAGAATCTGAAGAATAAGAACAAAAGCCAAGAAAATGAAAGAAGGTTAACAGCAGTAAAGACTTGTTTCAAGAATATCAATTCTAAAATAAAACCACTCAGCTCTGTGGTTGGGTGAGTGTTACTATAGGAAAGTCAAGAGCTTCCTAAATGAGTGGATGCTGGTTGGCTGGAAAACTAAACAAGCAAGTCAGTGCCCAGTCTCTTAGAGATGAAAGTAGACTTAATAAATGCTGGGGCCAGCAGGGGTGACATATCCAAATGCAAAAGAGACTCCAGGATTTTTGCAACAGGAAACACGGAGCGCAGGCTTCTCTTTTTACCTTGTCCACTGACATTGCCTTCATCGTGAGAGGCTGCTGTGGCATAACTCAGAGGAAGATTCAGCCCAACAGCTGGCCCTACGATGCTCAGCCACGATGTGATGTAGTTGACATTCCTGGGAAGTAAGCGAAACACAGAAAACTCTGTTTCCATCGTGGTTGTTTGAGTGGTAGAAAACCATTTACCAGCAATCAGAGAAACGAGGCTTTCTTCAAAGATGTGTGCTGGTCACTTGGCATCTCAGCATTTCCAAATGCCAATCCGTTGCTTGACAGGGACTTGGGGACCAAAGAGGCTGAGCAGCCCCCACTAAAGCAGCTTAAGGGAGGGAGGGTCAAGGCACTGATGCTCTTGACTTCCCTCAATGATTCCAGTTTGACCCAGCTGACAGCATTAGCTAAGGTAGCAGAGGGCAGTGGTGCAGAGTGTGGCTCGGAGGCAAGAGTGCCTGGGTTCACACCCCAGGTTCCACCACTCAACAAGATATGTGACCTTGACTGAGTCATTTAGGCCCTCTGTGCGTTAGCCTCCTCTGTAAACCAGGTAAAATAATAGTACTTAGCTCACAGGGGTGTTATAGAAATACAGTGCATTAATATATCTGAAATACTTAGAACAATGCCTAGAACACAGTAAAAAAATTCAATCAATGTTAGCCATTATTATTATTACAAAGAATATTTCTTTTATAGTTTAGCTTTTAGAATCACATAAGAAGATTTATACTTTTAAAATAAGACTGAAGCCAGTGTATCTTGATGGTATTTCTTACCTATTGATTTTTTGAGAATTCTTTAACACAGGAGTCATGAATTCACTCGTCTTGCAGGGATGAAGTACAAAAAAGGGGTGTCCAAGTATCGGATGCTCCTGCAAGAAGCAGAGTTGGCCCAGGATTGCTGGCGTGAATTACTTTGAAAAAGTTAAAGTCCATACTCAGGTCTACTCCTTTAAAATAAAAGTTTGTTTTAAATTTCAAATTATTAAATTAAGATATAGATTGATTACTATTTTAAAGTATAATTCATAACGCAAACATGAGAAAAAGGTTGGTGAGAAGAAATTATTTACTGATAGAGGATGGCACTCAATACAAACTGCAGATACATTTTATCTTGTTTAGCTGGTGTTTCCTTTGGCCTATAATTATTCTTCAGCTTTAACTCAAGGATGTCCATGAAGTTCAGGAGTCTGACCATTTGAACAATGCATTTCATTCACCTGTTTGTCAATGGATCAGTTCACCTCAGTCACTCAGTCATGTCCGACTCTTTGCAACCCCGTGGACTGCAGCACCCCAGGCTTCCCTGTCCATCACCAACTCCCGGAGTTTACTCAAACTCATGTCCATTGAGTTGGTGATGCCATCCAACCATCTCATCCTCTGCCGTTCCCTTCTCCTCCCGCCTTCAGTCTTTCCCAGCATCAGGGTCTTTTCAAACGAGTCAGTTCTTTGCATCACATGGCCAAAGTATTGGAGTTTCAGCTTCAGCAACAGTCAGTGGTAAGGGAACCAACATTATTTGCATATTTTCTTTCTTTTTCTAAATGAGTAATTTGACTGCACTGAGTCTTCACCGCTGCACACAGGCGTTCTCTAGTTGTGGCAGGTGGGGGCTGCTCTTCATCTCTGTGTGCAGGCTTGTCATTGCAGGCTTCTCTTGTTACGGAACACAGTCTTGAGAACCCGCAGGCTTCAGTAGTTGTGGCACACAGGCTTAGTTGCCCCACAACATGTGGAATCTTCCTGTACTAGAGATCAAACCCATGTCCCCTGAATTGGCAAGCATATTCTTAACCACGGGCCACCAGGGAAGTCCTCACATATTTTCTTACATAAATTTCTTTCAGGCCGAACTGCATCCAGGCACATGACCAGTGAGTAGACAGGGTAGAGGATAGGGTGGAAGAGGGGCATGACGCACTATTTAAACTGTAGGCTTCCCTGGTGGCTCAGATGGTAAAGAATCTGCCTGCAATGCAGGAGACCCAAGTTCAACCTCCGGGTTGGGAAGATCCCCTGGAGAAGGGAATGGCAACCCACTTCAGTATTCTTGCCTAGGAAACCCCATGGACAAAGGAGCCTAGTGGGCTACGATCCATGGGGTGGCAAAGAGTCAGACACAACTGAGCAACTAACACTTTCATTTAAATTGTACTGCTCTTGTCTGTCTCTCTCTTACCCTTAGTTTCTCTGCTTATCTATGTCTCTCCTTCTGTCTCTCCCAAGCTTATGGAGCTGTTTCTACAAGTTCCAAGTCCATAAGACAGAACTCCACTGCCTTTGTAAGAGAATGATTGGATATAAGAGACAGGTCGGACTGCTGCCAGACTAGGGATGTAGACATCATTTGGTAAGCAATGGGGATCCCAAGATGGTTGCTATGTGGTAAGTGATCTATGCATAAATTCGACCAACTTGAAAATAGTTTTTGTTGATAAATTTATAGTTGCTTACATTGTGCATTAGCCATTATACCAGAGACCACAAACTCCAATACTGTTATGATCTGAATGTTTGGTTCCCACAAATTCATATGTTGAAACCCTAATGTGCAATGGTAGGAGGAGGTAGGGCCTTTGGGAAGTGCTTAGGTCATGAAAGTGAGGGTCAAGAGCCCTCAAGATGAGATGAATGCCCTTATAAAAGAGGCTTCAGAGGGCTAGCATCCCCTTCTTCCATGTAAGCACACAGTGAGCAATCTGCAAGCTGGAAAAGGGCCTAAAGATGGAGGGCTAGAGATCTCAACCTGGTCTGACTTCCAGCCTCAAGAATTGTTGTATATCAACTACCTGATATGTGATATTTTGCTATAGCAGCCCAAACAGACTAAGACAACTACCTATGTAGACCAGGCAGGGGACCGGAAGGGGAAAGGCCAGTTAGACGCAGCAGCAGGTGACAAGGACCATGTGGACCCGGAGAGTGTGCCCACCCAAGCTTGTGCTTGCTACTCTGCTCCAGCCAGCTGTGCCAGGTGGGATGCAGGCTTGGCGGGCCAGGTATTCCCACTTGTCAAAATAACCTAGACATCCAGATTTTTGTGTAAAGCCTCCTAAATTTAAATATTGGCACCATTTGTTAAAAATATGGTACAGGCCAAATAAAACAAGTCTGTAGGTTAGATTTGGACCGAGGGCTGCCTGGCTTCTTCTCCTGGCTTCTCTTCTCAGCCAGGCCGAGGAGAGGCTGAACTCAGAGCTGTCCATGGGAAGAATCACATCTTGGTGCCTCCACTATCCAATCCCCAAACACTCATGTCTGTGCACAAGTGAACACACATATCCACAATAAATAGGAGGAACAGCTCCACTTGTACGGGTGACCTTGGGTGTGAAAAGATGAGACAGAGAAAGAGAGAGAGTGTGTATGTGTGTGTGTGTGGCAGGGCTGAGTTACTCACTGCGAGTAGGCTGGAGTACAAGTATGTCTCCCTAAAGGGACCACCTCCAGACCTCTCTGCCCAGGGTCCTGATTCCCACACTGAGCTCAAGCCCCCACTCTCCTGCTCTCTTCTACCCCTCATTCCTGTTTCTAACCTGACACTGTGACCACAGCCCAGATATGTTATGCTAATCACCAACTTGATTCTGGCTCCCCTTACTGGCCTTAAACTAATATTTATTAATTCATCACCTATCTAGTGATCATCTCTTACATACCTGCCAGGAATACTTCTGGATCTATCAATCGTTACAGAGATCACTCTAAGATAAACCAAGCCCCTGATCCCATGGAACTTATGTTCCAGTGCAGGAGATAGCCAGTAGCCAGTAAACACATAGAACAAATAAGTAAATAGGATAATCTAGATAATAATAAATGCTATGAATAAAACAAAGCAAGGTAATACAACTTTGGAGGGACTGTGGTAACAATTCAGATTTGGTGAAAGGGAAGGCCTTACTGAAGAGGTGATCTTTAAACAGAGATCAGGATGGCAAGAAAAATCCAACTGTGCAGAGAAACTGGACAAACACAGAGACCATAAAGGGAAATGAGACAGGAAATGTGCAGAGGAAATGCAAAAGAATTTTAGAATTATTCTGAACTAAAAATAATTGCTGTTTATAGAGCTGGGATTTAAAAGGCTAAATTTAGTCTAAATCCTTCTTGGATTACTTGTATAGTAACCAATGCAAGGAATGAAGAGCTGTAACCAAATCTGTGAAGACACGTTTACCTTCTTTAACAGAATGAAGCCTAGACCTCCAAGGATGGCGCTGCACAGAACACTCCTAAAGCAGACAGTCAGCTTGGCCATGCATTCTCCACTCCTCCAGGATGCATTCCCCACTTGGCAGCCCTTGATTATCATGGCCACTCCATGGGGAATCTCTCCAACTTTAAACACTTGAGCCCAAGCTTCATGTAGCTGAGGTAGAATGGACTAGTCAATCAAGACTCTACTGAAAGCCTGGGAATACTGAAAGTGTGAAAACCACACAGAACAACAGGGCTCTAAAAGATCCAGAGTGTTACAATACCAGGGCTCTCAGGCCCATTTGAGGGCTTCCCTGATAGCTCAGTTGGTAAAGACTCCGCCTGCAATGCAGGAGACCCCGGTTCGATTCCTGGGTCGTGAAGATCTGCTGGAGAAGGAATAGGCTACCCACTCCAGTATTCTTGGGCTTCCGTTGCGGCTCAGCTGGTAAAGAATCTGCCCGCAATGTGGGAGACCTGGGTTTTATCCCTGGGTTGGGAAGATCCCCTGGAGAAGGGAAAGGTACCCACTCGAGTAATCTGACCTGGAGAATTCCACGGACTATATAGTCCATGGGGTTGCAAAGAGTCAGACATGACTGAGCGACTTTCACTTTCACAGGCCCATCTGAAGCATGGGGGACAGGAGAGATCTTGGCTGGGCTCTCCCTTTCTGGGATGAGCCTGCATGGTGGATGGAAGCACTCACAATCTCTATGCAAGAGTGTCCTCCAAAACTCTTAACCATTCATGGTTCAGTCTCCTTGAAGAGCTGGAAACTCTCATGAATCATGGCTTCATCACATAGACAAGACCTTGCCTCTTCCTTATAATAGGTCTGTGGCCTAACCTTTATAAGATCCCCAAAGAATAACCATATCAGTGTGTAAGACATCTCCAAGAGATACAGACACAGTTAAAGTTCAGAGGGTCATTTTCTAAGCAGATGTTGGCCTTTGTCACATTGCAGCTCTGCTCATTAGATGCTGCTTAGTTAAGACCTGGACTTGAATCACATCTATTGCTCATTCCATATAGCAAGTAGATAAGAGCAGGCTTGGGATCTGCAGTTAAAAATTGAGCTAAGGCAAAGCACTTAATCATTTCATATCTCTGTTTCCTTATCTGATAACTGAGACTAATGACAGCATATACCTCATAGATCCTTCAATGAAAAAGAAGCCAGAAAACCATTCAAAATAGTGCCTAACATAAAATAAGTACTTAGATGGCTATTCCTACTCAATTTATTGATATTTAAATAGATAAGAATAACAACACCTAGACATCCATAATATGACTCAAGTATGTTCTTATAATGCCCTACAACAAAGTCCAATTTCAATATCTAAAAATAAAAAGCTCCTATGTAGTTACACAGCATAGTTAAAACATCACTGACTAGTGTCTAAATGTTTAGAAACACATGATAACTAATTATAACCAAGGATAGGAAAAGTCTGAATTAGTAAAAAGTCTATGCATGTATAGCAATTAGAATTATCAATATTTTGATGTGTTAGTTGCTCAGTTGTGTCCAACTCTTTGCGACCCCATGGACTGCAGCCTACCAGTCTCCTCTGTCCATGAGATTCTCCAGGCAAGAATACTGCAGTGGGTTGCCATTCCCTTCTCCAGGGGATCTTCCTGACCCAGGGATCAAACCCATGTCTCCTACACTGCAGGCAGATTCTTTACAGTCTGAGCCACCAGAGAAGACCAATGGTATATATAGTCACTAGAATTACCAATATACTGATAGGACAAATTAATGGAAAATAATCTAAATGAATTTAAATTAAAATAATAGCTCAGGCACTTCAAAAACACTTCAGTAATCTACAACATTTTAATATTCATTTTTCCTCACATAAAAACAGTTACACTAGTATTTAAGGTTATATGTTGATAAAATACATGGTAATGCTTGTGCAAATCACCTTTTTAAATAATAGGGACTTTCTTGCTTTACTGCTTCCTGGTAGCTCAGATGGTAAAGAATCTGGCTGCAATGTAGGAGACCTGGGTTTGATCCCTGGGTGGAGAAGATCCCCCAGAGAAGAGAATGGCTACCCATCCCAGTATTATTGCCTGGAGAACTCCATGGACAGAGGAGTCTGGTGGGCTACAGTCTCTGGGGTAGCAAAGAGCTGGACATGACTAACTAACACTTTCACTTCATGCCTTAGAATTTTCAGAACAGCCTGGACAGTTTGTTAATGCAGGTTTAACCACCTAAGAAATTCTTTGTCTTTTACTATATTAAGAATTTGTATAATTAGACAAAATATATTTAAATGAATGACTGTTTTTAAAAATCAAATGTTTAAATTGTATTTTAAAACTAAAAATTATATTGTTTTGGTAAGATGCTTTGGTTTGAAAAAGCCAAGCAAGTAGATGTTGATCTTGTCAGGAATTATAAAAAGGGGTATTTTGTAATCTCTTGAGAAAAGTTTTATTAATAAATAACAATAGTAGTGGACTTCTAACTATAGCAGGATGACATAGAGGTCAACAAATCTCCTTGAAAAACAAGTATAAAACAGAACAAAATTGTAAAAAAACAATCTTTTCTGGGATGTGAAAATTAACCAAAGGCAAATAAAAATCTTGATAGCTTTTTAAATTCATGAAAAGCTGCTAGAATGTCAAGTTAGACACAGAGGCAGTCTGCAACCTTCTTGCCTAGAAATACTCCCTTACCAACTCCACCCTCCACCCGGCTCCATCAACAGGGAGGTTTTGCGGGAGTGGAGCCAGCGACTGGAGAACCAATGGCAGAGCCGCCATCAGGGCTGACTTGCACGTGTGCAGGGGAGGTACAAGAAGGCCTGATGAAAAGTAAAAGCTGATGACGACTTGACCATTAACGAAGTTTGGATGGGCTCCCAGCCCACATACATGGCCATGAATAAATGAAGGAAACCTTGTAGGCTTGAGGTATACAAGCACAACCTCTGTCTGATCACTAGCTAACCAACAAGGTAAGCAGACCGAGCTGGCGACCTCTCGGAAACCAGGCAAGAACATGAACATTAAGAATGAAAGACAAAATAGAGACATCAATGGCCACATTTACAGAGTAGGCAAATTCGGCAGATAAAATCTATGAAAGCTACTAAAACAAACAAACAAAAATAATAGCAA